GGCATCAGAATAAATACCAAATATTTTCGCGAAAATATTCTGGAGGGTGTATTAATGCCTTGGGCACGCAAACCCTTTGGCCGCAGGCCTTGGACATTCCAACAGGATTCAGCACCGTCGCACACTGCAGGCGCCACCGAAGAATGGTTACAAAATGAGGTTCCTCGTTTCATTTCTAGCGCACAATGGCCACCAAAATCTCCGGATACCAATCCGTTGGACTATTATGTCTGGAGTATTTTGGAAAGCAAGGTTGGCACTAAAAAATACCAAAGTTTCGATGTCGATCACTTCAAGCAAGCGCTTCGCCGGGAATGGGCCAAGATACCGCAGAGCAATATTTGGGCAGTGTGTGAAGGTTTCATTGGCCGTTTGAATCCCATAATTCGTGACCAATTCGAACAAATCTAAATTTATTCTAAAATTTGATCATTCAATAAATTAAAAAAAAAAAAAATGTAAAAATTATGGCGTTTGACTTTGTTGTAGTTTTTTATCTCACCCTGCAATGAATCGAAGTATTCCATTTTCACCTTTCACCAATCATCTAATAGAGATAAGAATATTGGTACGGACCAAATTACAAGAAAATCGAACATATATATAAAATTTTATGTGAAATCTTAAATTTCATATTCATCTCAGGATATATATCGTGTGTTAGCAAAACTGATTGAGGAGTGGAACGATATGTCCCATCCTCACAGTAGATCTTGCCTTAGTAGAAATAAAGCGATGTAGGAGATATGAAGAGAAGCGAAAACTTATTTCAGATTTTATGTTCGTTTTTGATTGTTCGAAATTTTGGCCATTGATAGGGGAGGTACCAGAATAAGTGGTCCGATCTCTACCATCTTTGTAACAGATCTTGTGGTGATAAAAATTTTGAGATGTGCAAAGTCTGAATGGAATCGGATGTTAATTTCGCGTTTTATGAGCTTCATGGATATTCATGGGAGGTAACAGAAGGAGTTATTCGATATATTCCACCTTTGAGTCTGTGATGTGTGTGAAATGTGAAGTGAATCGGAATCTTTTTCCACGTTTTTTGAGAAATAACATTATTTAAAATTTTGACCCTTTGTGGGGAAGGTACACGAAGGAGTCGACTGATGCAAATATTAGGATTTACAAAGTTGGAAAAAAAGATTATCCTTTCTCTTTCTGTGATGTAAAATATTTTTGTGGTTGATTTACCCGAAAGTGTAGTTCGATATCTTCCATCTTTACAGCAGATCTAGCTTAAGTAGAAGTATTGGGTTGTGTGAAATTTGAAGACAATCGGACTCTTATTTCATATTTTATAAGAGTTATAATTATTCGAAATTTTTGGAGGTACTTGCTGAAGTAGACCAATATTGCCCAAGTTTGCCAAAAATCTAATGATCTTTTTTCTTTCTATGAAGTAAATTATTTTCTTTGAAAATTTTACCCTTTTGTGGGGGAGGTACCAGAAGGAGAGATCGATTTTGCCTATCTTCGAATTCGTTCTAAGTTTGACCATGATATTACGAGGGACCATGATATTTCGAGAGTTATCCTGCGCACCAGCTAGACACACGGACGGACATCACTAGATCGACTTTAAATGTCCTGAAACTAATTTGGTCCAAAGAGACCTATGATCTAACACTGTTAGTTTGATAAGCCGCATTTTAGTCGAATCCAATAATATATACCCTTTTCTATTGTCATATGGCTAAGATTATAAAAAATCCGTCGAAAAATACAACTTAAATGAAACCGTTATATGGGGGCTATATGAAGACATGGTTCTACATGAGTAGTATCATACCGAACTTCAAATAGGCAACTTGAAATAATTCCGGTAAACGATGTCGCTAATATCGTCAAAATACCGAATAATGGAATGTAACGTTGTATGTGAGCTATATGAAGACGTCTACCTGCACAGACCATTTTCCGTCATAGGTTCTAGCACCCATTACAAACATCAAATATCAAATTCGGATGCACAATTTCACTAAAATCATTAAAATACCGAAAATCGGGGGTATCATTTTACAGGGTGAGATAAAAACTGCAACAAAGTCAAAAGCCATAATTCTTACATTTTTTTTTAAATTTTATTGAATGAAAGGAAAAAAAATTGCGGAAATATCATCACATTTTAGAATAAGTTTAGATTTGTTCGAATTGGTCACCTTTGGCCCGAACTATTGTCCTCAAACGGCCAATAAAACCGGTATTTTGGCCCATTCCCGGCGAAGCGCTTGCCTGAGGTGATCGACACTTTGGTATTTTTTAGTGCCAACCTTGCTTTTAAAAATACTCCAGACACAATAGTCCAACGGATTGGTATCCGGAGATTTTGGTGGCCATTGTGTGCTGGAAATGAAGCGAGAAACCTCATTTTGTAACCATTCTTGGGTGGCGCGTGCTGAGTGCGATGCTGAGTCCTTGAATACACCCTCCAGAATATTTTCTCGATAATATTCGGCATTTATTCTGATGCCACGGTCGGCTGTTATGGCGGCCCACACCGTGACTATGGCAGGCGCTTGAGTTCTGGTGGCCAACCAAAGGTACCCATTTTCAGCTGACCTCTTTACACTTCGTGTTAACGATCATTTTGTTTGTTTGCAAACTGCTGGACAAAGAATGTTTTCTCATCGGAGACGGAGAAAACCAAATTCGGCAGTTCATCACTTTCCGCCAAGCAAAGCAAATCTCTAGCTCTTTTGAGTCTATTTTCTTTCCGTTGCAGTGTAAGTCCTGGTACTCATTTCAATATTTGCCGAATGACACGGGTTTCGATCAAGTAGCTTCTTTACTTTTCGAACCATTCCTGCTGATGTTGCAGTTTTCTTCCGTTCACTTCCTTGACGTCGGGCTACGCTACCAATATCACGGTAACGAGCGATGGTACTAGGCACAAAAGATTTATTCACATTTAAATGCTGGAACGCTCTAACGATGGACACTTGTAGTTTTCCAACCAAATATAAAGAAATCACACTATCACGCTTGAATTCCATCACGAATAACGTTTTTCTGGAAAATTCTCACCAAAATGCTTTTGTACGCTTGTAAATAATACAATGATCTGTCACTGGAATAATATTAACAGCTGTCGGACAAGTGGCTTATAAATGACAGCAGTCTGAAGTTGGTTGCAGTTTTCTCATCTCACCCTGAATGGAAGCAGCTATACGAAGATGTGGACCTGTATATACGATTGTCATTGGCTGTAGTATACATTACGACCTTTTAATGAGGAATATGAAATAATTCCGGTAATAATGTCGCTAAAATCATCAAAATATTGAGAGGGACCGTTATATAAGGCTATACGAAAGCATTGACCTACATAACCTTTACGATAAAATTTTAGCGTTTCGTTTTTATACCCTACACCACAAGGTGGTCAGGGTATTATGTCTTTGTGCATTTGTTTGTAACAGGCAAAAGGAAACGAGATAAAGCCATAGTTCCTTTTGATGATCTGCATAGAATCACTTTCTGAGTTGATTTATGCATGTCAGTCCGTCTGTCCGTCCGTCCGTCTGTCCATGTATTCTTGTGAACAAAATGCAGGTCGCATTTATTATCCGATTGAGATGAAATTTTGCAAACAACATTTGTTTGGCCCAAGGACGAACCCTATTGAAATTGGAGATAATCGGTAAAAATTTAGATATAGCTCCCATATATATCTTCGTCCGATTTGCTTTTTATTGTGCACCAAACGTATAATATCAGCCCGAATAGTATGGAATTTTGCACATACAACCAAATTAGGCCTGAAAATAATTATGCCAAATTTTATCGAAATCGGTTCAGATATAGCTATAGCTCCCATATATATTGTTCATCCGATTTGTTATTTTTGTCCTCCGCAGCCGTAATATGCACTCTGTAACAACAATATTTGGGGAAATATATCAGATGCAGCTCAGAAATGCCTTTGCTAAATTTTATCGAGATCGGTTCAGATTTGGATATAGCTCCCATATATAACTTCGTCCGATTTACCATTTATTGTGCACCAAACGTCTAATATTTGCCCAAATGGGATGGAATTTGGCACATACGACCGAATTGAGTCTAGAAGGTAGTATGCCAAATTTGGTGAAGATCGGTTCAGATATAGTTATAGCTCCCATATATATTGTTCATCGGATTTATTGTATTTGTTACCCACAGCCGTAATATGCACTCCGTAACAACGATATTCAGGGAAATATATCAAATACAGCTCAGAAATATCTTTGCCAAATTTTATCGAGATCGGTTCAGATTTGGATATAGTTCCCATATATATTTTTATCCGATTTCAAATTAATTTCGCACCAAATGGCAATACAAGTCCGAATTTAAAAGATACAAATGCTTCGGTATATTTAGTCCTTTGAATTTTAAATTATAATTATAATCATAGAGTGTATGATTGAATTCTCCCATAAAAACTTTTAATTATTAAGTGGAGCTCAACTAAATTAGCAAAGTGGTGTAGGGTATCATAAAATCGGCCCCGCCCGACTTTAGGACTTTCTTTACTGGTTTTTTTTTCGTTCCAAAGATAGCTTGGTTGCAAGAGACAGACCGGCTGGCGGACTTCGCTAAATCGACTTAGAATTTTATGCTGTTCAAGTCAATGCTGTTGGGTCTAACATGACTATTTCGAGGAGTTACAAACGAAATGACACAGTACGGTGATGGGGTATAAAAACCGTTAATATTCTGACCTGCTCGCATTGTTCTAGTCAACCAATTTCAATGGCGATAATGCCCATTTTAATTCTATTTGCCTTGAAACACTTTAAAATTTAAATATAAATTTTAGACATACATCCCTTTTTGGAAAGCCTCATCTACTTTTCCCGTGGGCAATTATTCAATTAAGCACCATGAAAATGGTATAAAATCACGAACAAACCGAAGACTTTCAAGTAGTCTCTGCTGGCAGCAGCTCCCGTACAACAGTCTACAAATTAAAATCGTTCAGCAATTAGAAACGATAAAAACGCGACGCCAACATGGCCCCGTCGATGGAAATAAACAGCAATGAATTTTTCAAAATCAATCGAACTTGTTGGAAGCTCTTGGGCTTGGGAATGTTAATGGTCGAAGGCCACAAGACCAATGGCCAACGCAAAATGAGCACAAACCTTTATATGGTCTGGGCAATTGTGATTAACCTGATGGCCACATGCTGCTTTCCCATCCATCTGTTCCTCGGCATCTTCGAGAGTGAAAACAAAACGTCATTCTTCGATAGCATTTCCATAACCATTACCAGCATTGGAGCATCCACGAAATTGTTAATAATTGCAATTAAAATGAAGAAGATACTCGAAATGCAATCGCTTCTCAGGACTTTAGACGCTCGCATTACACATCACGAGGAGGTGCGCCATTTCCGCCAGGATATTCGTTCGAGGATTATGAATATTCAACGGCTTTATTTTGTGGTCTATTGTGGTGTTGGTATCTCGGTGCTCGGTGCATTCCTCTTCAGCAAGGAACAACGTCTATTCTATTCGGGATGGTTTCCGTTCGATTGGCGCTCATCGCTGGGGAATTATGCGGCGGCCATTTCCTATCAATGCATACCGATTTTCTTTCAAATGATGCAGACATTTTGTAATGATAGCTTTTCACCCATAGCGTTGTGTGTTCTCTCCGCTCACATTGAATTGCTATATATGAGGGTGGTTAGAATTGGCCAGGATAAGAATGGAAAAATGAGGGAAACAACGACGCTACAAGAAGATGAGGAGGAACTCAATCGTTGTGTCCTGGATCAAATGAATTTGTATGAGTAAGTTGGAAAGAATTTTGGAACATCAACGAATTGGGGGTAAGGAGGGGGGAAGGGTGGATTAACTATAGATATTTTATGGAGATCACTCTGTGATTATTTTTTAGATATATTTTATTAACGTCCAGCAAAGCCACAAAAATGGATTATTTCAATACTTGAGCCATGAAAAAACTGCAACAAACTTCAGACTGCTGTCATTACTAAGTCACTTGTCCGACAGCTGTTAAAATTATTCCAGTCACAGCTCATTATATTGTTTTCAAGCGTACAAAAGCATTTTTATTTTTTTGAAATTTTTTTTTTTAAAAAAATTATTCGTAATGGAACTCCAGCGTGATAGTGTAATCTTTTTATATTTGGCTGGAAAAACTCAAGTGCCCATCGTCAAAGCACTCCAGCATTTAAATGTTAATAAATCCTTTGTGTCTCGTACCATCGCTGTGATACTGGCAGCGTAGCCCAACGTCAAGGAAGTGGAGAAGTGCTTCGAAAAGTAAAGAAGCGACTTGATCGATCGAGCTGAACGTATCGCAATATTCCATTCGGCAAATATTGAAAAATGAGCTCGGGGTAAAGCCATTAAAATTCCAAAAAGTGCAAGAACATAAACCTTAGCAGAAAGAAAATAGGCTCAAAAGAGCTAAAGAGTTGCTTCGCTTGGCCGAAAGTGGTAAACTGCCGAATTTGGTTCTCTCCGATGAGAAAACATTCGTTGTCTAGTAGTTTGTAAACAAACAAAACGATCATTTTTATTTGCCGAAAAGGTGAGCTGAATATCTACACCTTCGGTTGGCCACCAGAACTCAAGCGCCGGCCATGGTAATGGTGTGGGCCGCCATAACAGCCGATGGTGGCTCTCCGCTCGTATTATTCGCAATACAATGAACGTGCGTTATTAAGAAGTTTTTTTTTTAAGGATTAAAAGGGTAAAAACGTATGATTTTAATTTTCCAAGTATATATTTAGGGCTAAAAATATACAAAATTTCTAAATCTCGAATAATATTTTTAGCGGGATCAGAGGACCAAAATATCGGATTTTCATAAAATATTCCTCAAGGTCTAAACGACAGCCATAAAGAATATTCCTAAAGAATAAGCGATAAAAATGTGGAAAGGACGACAAAAAGTGGATGTTTAATGAATGTATTAAAAAGGTCTAATGGGCGATCGAAGTGGATTTTTAAAGAACTAAAGGATAATCAAAGGAGAATTTTTGAAGAATATTTTCAATGACTTAAAACCGATTAAACGTGGATTTTTATATTTTTGAAGGACTAAAGACGTGGATTTTTAGAGAAATATTTTGCATTGGCTAAAAGACATGGATTCTTAAAAAATATTTTTAAAAGACTTAAGGATCTGGATTTTTAAAAAATATATTTCAAGGACTAAGGACGTGCTATTATAAAAAATTTATTTATTAAGGACTAAAGGGAGTGGAAATTTTTGTCAAGGACTGCAGGATGTGGATTTTTAAATAAGTATTTTTCAAGGGCTAAAAGACGTGGATTTAAAAAAAATATTTTTCAAGGGCTAAAAGACGTGGATTTTTAAATAAGTATTTTTCAAGGGCTAAAAGACGTGGATTTAAAAAAAATATTTTTTAAGGGCTAAAAGACGTGGATTTTTAAAGAAGTATTTTTCAAGGGCTAAAAGACGTGGATTTTAAAAAAAAATATCTTTCAAGGGCTAAAAGACGTGGATTTAAAAAAAAAAATATTTTTCAAGGCCTAAAAGACGTGGATTTTTAAAAAAAATATTTTTCGAGGGCTAAAAGACGTGGATTTTTAAAAAAATATTTTTCAAGGCCTAAAAGACGTGGATTTTTAAAAAAATATTTTTCAAGGCCTAAAAGACGTGGATTTTTAAAAAAAATATTTTTCAAGGCCTAAAAGACGTGGATTTTTAAAAAAAATATTTTTCAAGGCCTAAAAGACGTGGATTTTTAAAAAAAATATTTTTTCGAGGGCTAAAAGACGTGCATTTTAAAAAAAAAAATATTTTTTCGAGGGCTAAAAGACGTGCATTTTAAAAAAAAAAAAATTTTTTCGAGGGCTAAAAGACGTGCATTTTTAAAAAAATATTTTTCAAGTACTAAAAAATGTTGATAAAAAAAATCAGGGACCAAAAAATGTGGATTTTAAATACATTTTTTTATGATTGAAAGGACGCGGATTTTCAAGGATTAAAGGAGGTGTATTTTTTAATAATATTTTTCAATGACTAAAGGATGTGGATTAAAAAAATTATTTTTCCATAACTAAAAGATGTGGATTTTAAAAACATTTTTTTAATGATTGAAAAGACGCGGATTTTCATGGATTAAAGGAGGTGTATTTTTATAAAATAATTTTCAAGGACTAAAGGGCGTGTATTTAAAAAAAAAATATTTATCAAGGCCTATTGGTGACCCAAAGTGGACTCTTAAATAATATTTTTCAAGGACTAAAGCACGTGGAGTTAAAATAAATATTTTTCAAGGACTAAAGGGAGCGGATTTTTATAAAAATATTTGTTAAGGACTAAAAGGCGTGGATTTAAAAAAAAGTATTTGTTAAGGACTAAAGGGCGTGGATTTAAAAAAAAATTTTCAAGGACTAAAGGGCGAGGATTTAAAAAAAAAAATTTTCAAGGACTAAAGAACGTGGTTTTTTACAAAAAATATTTTTCAAGAAATAAATGACATGGATTTTTTACAAACATATATTTCAAGGACTAAAGGAAGTAAATTTAAAGAAATATTTGACAAGGACAAAAGGACCCGATTTTTTTTTTAAATATTTGTGAAGAAGCAAAGGACGTGAATTTTTTAAAAAATATTTTTCAAGGAGCAGAGGATGTGATTTTTTTTTTGTCAAGGACAAAAGGATGTAAGTTTTAAAGAAATATTTGTCAAAGATCAAAGATCGTAAATTTTAAAGAAATAATTGTCAAGGATTAAAGGAATTGAGTTATTTAGAAAAATATTTTTTAAGTACTAGATTAAACATAGATTGTTAAAGATTAGGAGAATATTTTTGCAGGACTAAAGGCCGACCAAACGTGGAATTTTAACAAATATTTTCCTAGGACTCAAGGACGACCAAAAATTTATTTTAAAGTTTAAAAATAATTCAAGGACTATTTTTTTTTTGTATTTTTAAAGTGCATATTTTAAGGACCAAAGGTCGAATAAACGTGGATTTTTAAAAAAATAGTTTTTAAGTACTAAAGACGAATAAAAGCGGATTTTCAAAAAAAGAAAGGAAATGTGGGTTTTTAAATTGTTTTGGATTCCGGAGACACTATCAAAATTTTAACAATTCTTTTCGTTCTGTCCATATTAATTTAAAATCACTCTACAGGTCACAATTATGACTCGATCTTCACGAAAGTTAGAATGGAGGGCTAGGGCCAGAATAGAAGCCGATTGCTTTTGGAGATGTTTACATAAGGGTTGAAATGGGCCAAAAACTGAGAAATTTCGTGAACTTGCAGTTGCTCTACAGGTCGCAATTATAGACCAATCGACGCGAAAGTTAGCATGGGGCTATAGTTTAGGGCTGGACAGAAGTCTTCCAATGTTGATGTTAATCGGGTACTATTTAGTGGTTGAAATAGACCACAACATTTGTGTTAAATAAAAGTCAACTTTTCTATTCAACCGCGAATGTTTTTAAATCCCGGCGAAATCACAAATAGACGTGTAACGGTCAGAATTGACCTGAACGTCTACTTGTGACGTACAGGTCACGATAGTAAATATATCGGATATATATAGCGAAATATATACAATGTGTATATACAAGGGAAGGAGATATTTCTTAAGAATGGCAGGACCGATTTTGACAATTTTTATCAATTCAGAATGCCCTCCTGGCATAAAAGTATAAAATCTAAAAAAATCGCATAAAGAGACGACAATAACGATGTTAATATAGATTTTGTAGTATTGTGTGACATTTTTTATTTTTTTTTTCATATTTTTTATCGCATGCGATTTTTTCAATTTGACTTAAAATATTGAAGTGTATGTTTTATATTTTTTTTTACCTTGCGACTCAGGTTGGGGTTATTATATATGGAGTGCAATTATTGTCCGAACCTCAAGAAAATTGTTATAAGGGTAGGGTCTTGCTCACAAGGGCTAGGCCTATTGTTTTCCAAGATGTCCGCAATATATTTAGGGGTTGTAAAGAACCAAAAACAGAAAAAATTTCCTGATCAAACAATTAAAGCCAATCGACTTAACTCCTGAGAAGAGAGTTAAGGACAGGTAAGAATTCTAGCATTTTGGTTGACCAATGGATATTATTTAGCTGTAAAATGGACCACATGAACTAATAGCACAACGGAGTGCGTAAATTTTGGGCAAATGTCTCTTGTCAAAATACTAAGGGTAATATCTGGGCAGTGTTCCGTGACATAATTTCAAAAGCGAAATCTTCCAAAATGGATTTGGGCATAAGGAGGCTTCTAACATATTGTAGTGTTGTAGGGTATCACATGGTCGGCCTGCATGACTATAGCCTTTGCCTACTGTATACTTCCAATGTTGGATTTCATGGAGAAACTATAAAGAGTATCAAAAATTCTTGCATTTTTTAATAAATCCAATTTTATCATTTTGAATCTGTAATGAAAAATGTTGCGAAAATTGGAAAAAATTCCGGAGAGAGTATTTTTTATTGACCTTCAGATTTTTAGAATTGAAATGTTATCTTATGGACCTTCATATTATTCATATTGGATTTTTTTTATAATATTCTGGTGATATTTTTTTTGAATATTTTTTTTTTAGTCATAACTGCCTTTATTTTTCTTTCAACACCTTTCAGACTCTACAACACCATGCAGAATATCATATCCTGGGCCATGTTCATACAGTTTTTTGTATCGGTGGTGAATAACTGTGTTGCCATTGTCGCCCTGCTGTTTTTTGTTACCGATGTATTCGAACGCATCTATTATGTCATCTATATCCTTGCAATGGGTATCCAGCTATTTCCCACCTGCTATTATGGCAGCGACTTTGTGTTGCTCTTTGAGAAACTGCACTATGCCGTCTTCTCGTGCAATTGGATTGGACAATCGAAGAGTTTTAAGCGGCACATGATGATATTTACAGAGCGCTCCCTGCGTGAGACCGTAGCCCTGGCCGGTGGCATCTTTCCCATACATTTGGACACGTTCTTTGGCACCTGTAAGGCCACCTACTCACTGTTTGCCGTCGTAATGACAATGAAGTGAAATGTTTTCGTAAAAGTGGATTTCATGGCAATGATATTTAATATTTTCGTTTGAGTTTGTTTTTTTTTTTTTTGAATAAAATGTTCTCAAATATAGGGCATAGCTGGCTGGCGCTTAATGCCAGTAGGAATTTGTTGCACATGAATAATTTTTCGCACCTAAAATTGTTTTGTGAAATCATGATATGCATCAATGGAAAAGTGTTTGCAAAAATATGTTAAATAATTAATTTGATATGCGAGTGTTCGACAATTGGCAGCGAGGTGTGATATTTCCACTGAACTGCACTTGTATTTGTTGAATTCGTACGACAACGCCCATTAATAATGCCGAGTGTCGATTTCATTGAAATCCCATCTGTATTTTGATAGTCGCAATTCAATACACTGGCAATTAGCATTATCATATGCATTTGTGTTATGAAAATAAATAGAAAAAAAAAGAAGGTAAGTTCGGACGGGCCGAACTTTTAATACCCTTCACCATATGAAAGAAAATTGTAAATTTTCAAAAAAAAAAAACCGAAAACTACCACTTAAATGAAAACCGTTTTATGGAGACTATACGCAGATGTGGAAATTTTTACATCCTACAACACTATGTGTACGTTTGATTGGGGCAAATATTATATAACACCTCGAAATATTGGTTTCCCACATAGGAAAGTATATATGGATCTTCCTATCTCGCCGAGCTGAGTCGATCTAGCTATGTATGTCCGTCCGTCTGTCCGTCTGTCCATGTTAATTTGTAATCACTCGACAGGTCGCAATTATGGTCCGATCTTCACGAAATTCAGAATGAAGGTGGGGGGATAGGGTCAGAATATAACCCTATTTCTTTTGGAGATGATAGCATAATATTTTGGGGGTGAAATGAACCAAAAACTGAATAAATTCCTGATTTTGCAGTTGGTCTACAGGTCGCATTTATAGACCAATCGATGCGGAAGTTTGCATTGGGCTAGAGCTTAGAGCTGGGTAGAAGCCTTTTAATTTTGATGGTCATCGGGTAATATTTAGTGGGTGAAAAACGCTATGACATTTGAGTTAAATCAAATCAAAATTTCCATTAAACCGCGTATATTTTTAATCCCGGCGAAATCACAAATAGACGGACAGGTCAATCCTAACAATTACGTAGATGCCGATAGTAAATACTTCAGATATATATACCGAAATATATACAATGTATATATACAAAGGAAGGGGATGTTAGTTAAAATGCTAATATCTCTAGAATGGCTAGGCCGATTTTGAAAAATGGCATAAAAGGATAAAATCTAAAAAAAACGCATAAAAAACAGCCTAAAATGATGTTAATATAGATTTTTAAATATTTTGTGACATATTTTTATTTTTTCATATTTTTATCGCATGAGATTTTTTCAATTTGACTTATAATTTTAAAATGTATATTTTGTAATATTTTTTCACTTTACAACACAGGTTGGGGATATTGTATATATATTGCAATTATCGTCCGATCCTCACGAAAAGGGTAGGGTTAAGCTCAGAATGGCTAGGCCTATTGTTTTCAAAGATGTCTGCAATATATTTAGAGGTTGAAATTGACCAACAAAAAATGTTCCTGATTTTGCAGCGGTTATAATACAAGTAGAAACCAACGGATACAAAATCTCGCATGAAGTTAGAGTTTAGAACTTTGGATAGAATGGACCACTACTTTGTGTAAAAAATACCAGCATTACTTACAGGCGATATCCGACGACAGCCAAATATCGTAGACAAGAAAATCATATAGATGAGTCTAAATTTGGAGATTCAGAGGGGCCTCTTGCTTTTGGAGATGGTTCAAATGAACCAAAAACAGAAAAAAAATCCTGATACACAAGTGAAGCCATTCGACATGCCTGGGAAGAGCGATAAGGACAGGGAAGGATTCTAGCATAGTTCGTAAATATTGGGCAAATGTCTCTGTTCAAAATGCTAAGCGTAATATCTGCGCAGTGTTCCTTGACATAGTTTCAAAAGCGAAATCTTCCAAAATGGATCAGGACATAAGAGGGCTTCTAACATGTTGTAGTGTTGTAGGGTATCACATGGTCGGCCCCGCACGACTATAGCCTTTGCTTACTTGTTAGTCATAGGCTGTAGGGTCCATTACGATCTTCAAATATGAAATTTGTTACAATTACAGTGAATAATGTCGCAAAAAACATGAAAATACGGAGTATCGGGAGGTATAGAAGACGATGTGGACCTGCACAGACAATTTTCTGTCTTAGATTGTAGTACCCATTAGGATCTTCCAGTAGGAAATTCGAAGCAATTCCGGTGAATAATGTTGCTGAAATCATCATAATACTGAATATCGGGAGGTACCGTTATATGGGGGCAATACAAAGAGTTGAACCTGCATAAGAAAATTGTGTCATAGGCTGTAGTACGCATTAAGAACTTCCAGTACGAAATTTGAAACGATTCCTGTGAATGATGTTGCTGAAATTATTAAAATACCGACAATCTTGTCGTACCGTTATATGGGGGCTATACGAAGATGAAGACCCGCATATACAAATTTTTATCATAGGCTTTAGTACTCATAACGAACTTCAAATACCGAATTCGAAACAATTCCGGTGACTAATGTCGCTAAAACATCAAAATACCGAATATCAGGAGGTACCGTTATATGGGGGCTTATGGGAAGACTTGGACTTGTATACAAACATTTTTGGCATAGGCTGTAGTACTTATTAGGATCCTCCAGTACGAGATTTGAAACGATTCCGGTGAATAATGTTTCTGAAATCATAAAAATTCTGAATATCGGTAGATGCCGTTATATTGGGGCTATGCGAGGACTTGGACCTGCATACAAAAATTGATGTCATAGGATGTACAGGGTTGTCCATATTCGACGGACCCATCTGGCAACGCCATAACTTTTGACAGAGATGCCACATCGCTTAATGACATACCGCGTTTGAAGCGTCAGTCCAAGAAGATTTTTACCATGAACCAATACACGCCACGCGAGCGCTCTGAAATAGTTGAAATTTACATTCAACAGAAGAAGTCAATTGTGAAAACTCAACGTGCTTTTAAAACATTAAAAAATGTGAGAAGTGCGCCTTCTAAGAACACCATTAAGCGTTTATACGAACAATTTTCGACTGGTAAGGCTCTTTCTAATCCGAAGAGGCCATATAAAAGTCGACCAAGGCGATCGGCCGAGAATATCGCTGCCGTACGAGCCAGTGTTGAGAGGTCCCCAAGAACATCCCAAAAACGCCGTTCTCAGCTGTTGGGCATGGCTCGTGACACTTTACAACGGATTAATCGCATTGATTTGCATTTGTTCCCGTACAAAATTCAATTGACGCAAAGAATGTTGCCTGCGGACAAGCCTCGTCGATTGGAATGGGCCCAAAGAGTCATGGGTCCGTCGAATATGGGCAACCCTGTAGTACCTATTACAAATTTCAAATACGAAATTTCAAATAATTCCGCTAAATAATGTCGCTAAAATCATGAGAATACCTAATATAGGGAGGTACCGCTATATTGGGGCTATGCGAGGACTTGGACCTACATAAAATTTTTTTTTCATGGGCTGTAATACCTATTACGAACTTCAAATACGAAATTTGAAACAATTCCGGTGAATAATGTCGCAAAAATTATGAAAATACCGAATTTGGGGAGGTAGCGCTATATGGGGGCTATACGAAAACCTGAACCGACATGGCTCATTTACGAACTGAACCTGCCTACTGGCCAAATAAACATGTATGCAAAATTTTAGCCTTCTATCTCAATTCGTTCGGAAGATAGCGTAATTACAACAGACAGACAGACGGGCAGACAGACAGACGGGCATCGTTTGATCGTCTTAGAATTTTACGCTGATTCAGAATACATATGCTTTGAAGGATCTATTATGAATATTTCGAGGAGTTACAAACGGAATGACAAAATTAATATACCTTCCATAGAATGGTTGGCGGTATAAAAATGCTGATAACAGGCTGTTTTTGCGACAGAGATTTTTCCTTTGGATGTTGATTTTAAATATTTTTTTTTCAATCACCTTATTTCCATAAAAAAAACATTTGTGTTGATTTAAATCAAAAATTATCTTTTATGGGCAAATATATTAACTTTAGTAGTCATTCATTCATTTTAATTTACAGGGTGAGATAAAAAAAACTGCCATAAAGTCAAATGCCATAATTTTTACATGTTTCTTTAAATTTTATTGAATAAAAGCAAAAGGGTCGGAAATATCATTAAATTTTAGAATAAGTTTAGATTTATTCGAAATGGTCACCCTTGGCACGAATTATGGCTTTCGAACGGCCAATGAAACCGTCACTTGCTGCCCGAATGTTGCTTTGCGGTATTTTGGCCCATTCCCGGCGAAGCGCTTGCTTGAGGTGATCGACACTTGGGTATTTTTTTGTGCCAACCTTGCTTTCCAAAATACTTCAGACAAAATAGTCCAACGGATTGGTATCCGGAGATTTTGGTGGTCATTGTGCGCTGGAAATGAAGCGAGGAACCCCATTTTAGCATTCTTGGGTGGCGCGTGCTGAGTGCTATGGTTCTGAGTCCTGTTGGAATGTCCAAGGTCTGCGGCCAATATTTGGTGCCAAGGCTTTAATACACCCTCCAGAATATTTTCGCCACAATATTCGGCATTTATTCTATTGCCACGGTCGATTAATACGAGCGGAGAGCTACCATCAGCTGCTATGAAGGCCCACACCATCACTATGGCCGGCACTTGAGTTCTTGTGGCCAACCGAAGGTGTACATTTTCAGCAGACCTCTTTGCCAAGTAAACATGATCATTTTGTTTGTTTACAAACTGCTGGACGACGAATGTTGTCTCATCGGAAAAATGCCAAAATCGGCAGTTCACCACTTTCGGCCAAGCAAAGCAATTCTTTAGCTCTTTTGAGTCTATTTTCTTTCTGTTGCGGTGCAAGTTCTTGCACTTTTTGGAATTTCAAAGACTTTAGCCCGAGCTCA